AAGCGCAGAAAAAAAATTACACCGTAGATATATCTACCCCTTTAGCGAAGTCCTGGAAACGAACGGGTGATGAGAAACTTGGTCAGTACAAATTCGAGATTTGAGAGAAAAAATCACCAGACATGTTGATTTACCGTTTAAATTGTATTTTTTTGTTCTGCTAGGCATTGATTTATATCCAGGGATTAAGATTACCATGTGTATCTTCTCGTAAACTAAGCCGGACACAGCAATTGGCTGTACACACATTTTCTTGGAATTTACCGGTGATTCAGTCAAGACACACCCAATGATATTACTTTACAGGGTTTTAATGGATCGGCAAAAATTGTACCTGAAACTATTTTTTTATCAGGAATAATATATTCCAATATCTTGTTAATTTAGATGCAGCTTTTACTAAACATATTTGAAATAATAATAACCCTAAGCGAAGCAGCTGATTGCTATTACCGGGTATTACATGGTTTTACATGGATCCAGTCTGACCAGTCACCGGCAAGGCTCCCGTGCACGTGATCGCGTGATCGCGAGAATTACGTGTTGACATAGAATCGTCCAACAAAAACAAATATGACTTTTAACGAGTCAAAGTATGGCATTTATGACACATGTATCCATTCTCTGTCAACTAAAGTTCGTCTCCAGGCGTCAATAGCGGTAATCTGACCGTGGTTTCTGTCAATAACGGTGAGTTGTGCGATCTTCCTATCGCTTCACACACGATTTCGCCGAAATTAATTAAAACAATATTAAAAGTAATTTTTAATAAAATTAATGAAATAAGTTACAAACATAAGTCCAGATATACAAAGAACACTTTTTATAGTCAGACAGTGTAATTACATGATTAATTTGTGTACTTCAGTATGGATTTGTTGACATGGTATTTCCGGTGTTACGTGCTCACGGTAATGTCTTTCCATGGGGGAAAAACATCAAAACTCATTATTTCGTGTATTATGCGCACCCCCTTCTACACAGCTGTGGGGTTTTTTGGAAGATAATGCGCAGTATACTCAAGAAAATATGGAATGCTTTGAATGGCGAAGCTGACACGGAAGGTTCATCGTCTGTCGACACGTTCGATGAACCAAAACCTGCAACTGGCACCGGTAAACTGTCAGATGATGTTACTGACACAATGTTCTAAAGCTTGTTTGTCTGAAAAACTCAAAAGCTTCAACAACAGTTGTTGTTCATGATATAAAACTGATTATTCAAACTAATGGATTTTTTTGTGTTTTGTTATGCAGAAGCTCAGTTAAATTACAAGTCATTACTTTTGGCTCCTTACATTTTGCCTTGGCTCCTTGAAATTCTATTTGGCTCCTTGAAAAAAAGATTTAGGAGCCAAGTGGCTCCTTTGAATTTTTTTTAACTTTGTGGCCTGAAAATATATTTTTTATTTGTCTGACCATTTGTCCTTGATAAATTAGGAACATGAAAAGCTACATGAAATTTAACTTTGAACTTTTTGAATGGTATTGAAGCGAGTGTCCACTGCAAACACCTGTTTAAACAAAGAGAGCATGGCCTTCTTTGACAAGAGTAAATATGCTATTGTGAAAATAGTAAATATGATATGGATAAGGAATCTATTCAAAGACTATGAATGCACTAGTTTGTATGGTAGGATAATTATAAAAATGTAGAGAAGACCACGGCCGTATTTCTAGGATTGCTTTGTGCACTTTATTCAAGATACAGCTTCAGTTACCAGTCATACTGTTGCATTTAACAGAATTCTGTGCAGGATGTTGGAATCAGATCTGGGGGGCACGGGTGGCCCAGTCGTCTAAGGCGCTGTGATTCGCTGTACAGAGTTGCGTCCCTTGGCCACGCCAGAAACCTATGATTGTGGGTTCGAATCCCGGTTCGCCCCGATTTTGTTTCTAGGTATGTCAGCACCATACCCGTGCTCGTGGGTTTCATCGAAGTGGTAAACGTCTGAGACCTGCATCACTTCGGGCTTTCCTCCCACATTAGGCTGATAGCCGTGATATAACTGGAATACTGTTAAAAGCGGCATTAAACCCAACTCACTCACTCACTGGAATCAGATCTTGCGTGATGTTTGTTGGACCAATGTGTCATCATCATCAGTTATCAGTAACCTACATTCAACCCCTTCCGAGAGTACCCTGTTATCAGCACAAACTGGGATATTCTGATCACCTGGCAGGCAAACACCCAGCACTCTGCCAGACAAAGGACCATGGCTATTGATTATGCCTCTCCCTTATCAAAAGGTTAAGCATGCAATGTGAAAGAACAGAAGGTCACGTTAATTGATTACATGTTTCCCTCAGGAGATCAAGCTGGCCCAAACCACAGCACTGACCATATTCAGATGTATTTTGAGTTAGATTTCTCATCCATGTAGACAGTCAGGGTATCCTTGAGCATTTTCCATGCTGTTCTGACAATGAACTCATCAAGGCACGTCCATATGCATGTACATATTTTTGTTGTTGCTTCCTTTCTGTCAGGTCTATGAAGTAATTGTCAATGTGTCGTGAAAGGCACTATATCAGTCAATAAGATCGGTGTAGTGAGGTCATAGTGTCTGGACATGCTCTGCATCAGTCTGTTAAATCTGTGTAGTAACGGTTATATTGTCTGGAGATGCCCTGCATCAGTCTGTAAGATCTGTCTAGTAACTATTATAGTGTCTGGAGATGCCTTGCATCAGTCTGTAAGATCTGTGTAGTAACGGTTATATTGTCTGGAGATGCCCTGCATCAGTCTGTAAGATCTGTGTAGTAACGGTTATATTGTCTGGAGATGCCCTGCATCAGTCTGTAAGATCTGTCTAGTAACTATTATAGTGTCTGGAGATGCCTTGCATCAGTCTGTAAGATCTGTGTAGTAACGGTTATATTGTCTGGAGATGCCCTGCATCAGTCTGTAAGATCTGTGTAGTAACTATTATAGTGTCTGGAGATGCCTTGCATCAGTCTGTAAGATCTGTGTAGTAACGGTTATATTGTCTGGAGATGCCCTGCATCAGTCTGTAAGATCTGTCTAGTAACTATTATAGTGTCTGGAGATGCCCTGCATCAGTCTGTAAGATCTGTCTAGTAACTATTATAGTGTCTGGAGATGCCCTGCATCAGTCTGTAAGATCTGTCTAGTAACTTTTATAATGTCTGGAGATGCCCTGCATCAGTCTGTAAGATCTGTGTAGTAACGGTTATATTGTCTGGAGATGCTCTGCATCAGTCCGTAAGATCTGTCTAGTAACAGTTATATTGTCTGGAGATGCCCTGCATCAGTCTGTAAGATCTGTGTAGTAACGGTTATATTGTCTGGAGATGCCCTGCATCAGTCTGTAAGATCTGTGTAGTAACGGTTATATTGTCTGGAGATGCCCTTCATCAGTCTGTAAGATCTGTGTAGTAACGGTTATATTGTCTGGAGATGCCCTGCATCAGTCTGTAAGATCTGTGTAGTAATGATTATATTGTCTGGAGATGCCCTTCATTAGTCTGTAACATCTGTGTAGTAACGGTTATATTGTCTTGAGATGCCCTGCATCAGTCTGTAAGATCTGTGTAGTAACGGTTATATTGTCTGGAGATGCCCTTCATCAGTCTGTAAGATCTGTGTAGTAACGGTTATATTGTCTGGAGATGCCCTTCATCAGTCAGTGTTATAGCAGCTGTTTTAAGCCCGAAAAGAACTGCGTCATTCTGTTGGCTTATTCAGAAGATTTGTCCTTTTCAGACAGACTTTCTAAAAGCTAAGTACACTCACTGTTAATGGAGAACATACGCTGATCACGGCTGTGGGGGTGAAAAGACTGACATGAATTTTAGTACACCTTTTGTAACAGTGAATGACAGGATTTAGATAAATTTACTTTTTGATGAGTAAGTGCACACTTAAACACTCTGTAAAGCACTTCTCGTGTCAGGTTGATGAGAAACAAAGATACCTCGATCCCAGTCTTTATGTTGGTTGGATTGGAAAGTCATTGATAATGACTGGTGACAAACAAGAAGCCAGTACGATCTTATACCCAAATACTTTTAACAGTAGTCATTTTTTTTAAAGGAGAAAATGTTTTTGATCTGTGAAAGTTTCTTTTGTTGCAAGAAATTGTTTCTAAGATAAGACTGTACATGTACATAATCTTCTTCATAATCTAGATAAAGGAACCCGAACCATATTGAATGCATAGACAGGACCTCGGCAGAGCGAGTGACCGACTGTTGGTCCGATATTCAAAGCGCGGTGTGATGTGACTTTTAAATTTTTTTATAGGTGTCCTGCGTACTAACAACATGGTGCTTGAATTACCATAAGTTGAAGAAATTCTTCCAAAAGTATCTTGAGCGTCAGTGCTATTATGTTTGCAAAGACAAACTGCAGGTGCATGTTGTTAATGCATATGCATAGAAATGTCAACAATGCCCAATAAAAGTTATGTATTTACACTTAAATATATATTTAACGTGGGTAATAAAAAAATACCACTCTCATTCTCAATATATACCATTTTTTACGAAAGTCCACTCGTTTGGTAAAAATGGTATCTAACGAGAATGAGTGTAGTATTCTCTATGTATCAATATTATCACCGATGTGATTATTGTATGGAACATAAGTATATGTATAAATAATCTGTAATAGTGATCAATCCCGTTGTTATATCACCAGTTATGTCACAGTTCTGACTTCAGTAGAGGTCACATGTTCAAGTTCTGCACTCTATGTTAAATGATTTTATGACAGATTTAGTCAGTAAAATAGGTTCTGAATTCAAGTAAACCATTGTCAGTGGGTATTGGTTGTATTTTTACACACTATTGAGTGAGTATGGTTTAACTCCACTTTAAGCAATATACCAGAGGAGGGGAAAACCAGAAATTAGCTGCACACATTGTACCCATGTGTGGAATCAAACCCGGGTTTTCGACATGACGAGCGAATGCTTTAACCACTAGGCTACCCCACTGCCCCTCATACTCACTAAACCTCCCCATGTGTTTCAGGAGCCTGACCTGGATGATGTGCCAATGGGCCTGGAGGGAGAGATCCCTGAGGATCTGAGCTACACCAAGCTGAAGGAGACACTTGCCAATCTTCCAGCATACCCTGAAGCAGGTCAGTGTCACTAAGGGGGAATAACTCAGAATTCACTGTCATCATGGGCAGATAACTGCACATGTCACATGCGATAGTTCAGTATGAAATCAAGCATTCTTGTTAATCATTCATTCGATATGTTCTTATTTAAGATACTTTGTATTTGAAAGTATCAAGTAATCAATAATGTGTATCAACTCAAGGGTCATATTTTAACAGGGAAAAAAGGTACAGATAAACGAAAATTGTGAGAATATCTTGGAAATAACAAACTTAATGGTATGAGGTAAGGTGGACATTATGGAACAGGGTAAATGGAAGTTGTAAGTATCAGAGGGACACAAGATTTTGCCAAAATGTATGTATCGTCGGATCATAGGTTTTCGGATGGCCATGTTTATTGCGATTACTCGCGCTATAACTGGGGATGTGGCATCACAGAGACGTAATTACTCAGATGATGGCCTGTTTTAGATAAAGTCGTCTTTTAAAAGTGAAGGAGATGTTTTGCAGTTGTGCATGTGATTAGGCAGAAAGCTACGAATGTTTCTAAAGTGTCCGAAAACCAATAACACGGGGATAAACATTATTGAATGAAAGTTCGAATACAATTAATAAAATAGTTTACAAACATAAATCCAGATATATAATGAACACTTTTTATTCCAAGAGAGTGTAACGACAGGATTAACTTTTGTAATTCAGTACAGATTTGTTGATATTCTATTTCCGATGATGGATCATGACGAGAAGACATAGTTTTAGGTTGGTGGTCCAGCTTCTGTACCTCACATAACATCTTAATACCAAGTTCAAGGACCAAGTTAATAGCTCAGCTTAACCATGAGATTGGCTTATCTATGGTCATACGGTCACATTTTCCATGAAATGTATGTTCCTTTGAATAGTGTCTGCAGTGTAGGATCTTAAAGTTAAATTTTTTTTGATATTCTAGATGATATATCATATGTGGATCTCTCATTGAATGAAAGCCTCCAGCTGTGCTTTTAATGTCTCGTTAGGTGCATGGTTTTGGGTAGGTACAGAGGGCTATATGCATGCAGGAAGCAGGGTGTATATTGGGAAGAGAGAACCCAGCTGGGTGTGTATAGGATATATATGTATGCCATCGTGTCAGTATCCGGACAAGATTAGAAAGTTCTGTTTTCAACAATGTTCCAGATGGGGGCAGTCAATATTTCCAGGAAATTCTGTCCATATGTTCGAGACAGTAATCAGAATCCATTCATCAGTGCATTCTTCCCCTACCAACCCAATCCATGCTGGTGATTGATAAGAGTCTGATAAGGGGATTAGTGAGATATCTCTATTTCTGAGCTGATTGCTGAGTTGCAGGGCGGGAGGAGATGGACACTCTGCACTTGTGGGATGCTTCAGACCTCACATTGTTGCAGTGTTAATAGTTATTGTCTGCGCAATACTTGTGAGTTTCACAGAAGTGGCAACATCTGAGACCTGCATTGCTTTGGGCATTCTTCCCACCTGTGGATGACACATCATGAACACACATACTGAAAGTTCACTCACTCACACACTCACAAATAGTACCTGGAGTGTCGGGATAAAAAAAACACCTGATGGGACTTGTCACAGTAAAATGATTTTTAAGGATTAGAATATCTTCCAGTATGTAAGCCTGTCCTGTGTTTGAAATTACCATGAATTCAAAGGGTCCCTTTCTTGACTCTAATGTTCAAGGTTTACGGTTTAGGGGGTCCCTAGGTTCAAATACTAACGGGGGAAACCTCCAGGACCCACCTTAGTTTTGATTTCTGCCTGTTGATTTTATTGCATGTAATTGATGCAACTGCTTTATTGTCGGTTGGGTAGCCTAGTGGTTAAAGCGTTTGCTCGTTACGCCGAAGACCCAGGTTCGATTCCCAACATTGGTACAATGTGTGAAGCCCATTTCTGGTGTCCCCCGCCGTGATATTGCTGGAATATTGCTAAAAGCACTTAAAATCAAACTCACTCACTCACATTATTGTCTTATAGCTTTTGTGTGTTTTCTACTTCCATTTTCAAAGTTAAGATAATACATGCAAAATTTACAATCACTAAACCTTCCTTTACGATCAGGCAAGATACATCAGCAAGTATATTCACACATGATATTTTCCTTGATAGTTCAGAGGTCAAGTGTAAAACAATTTTATTCGCAGGAAAGAGTTTGCCTAAACTGAGTGAGTAAGTGGGATTTAACACTGTTCTCGGGATACCTGCAGTGACTGGAGTATTGCTAAAGGCAGACTTCACACATTATATTGGAAGAGCGTACCCAGACCTTCAGCCCAGCAGGCCAACACTTGAACAACTAGGCTACTCCTACACCCCATTCCAACCAATCCCATTGGGCTTTTGGAAATGCATTTTCGAAGGGAAATTCTTGGTTTCTACCCGACTATAAGTCTGAACTGATCCCTTGTCGTACTTTTCAGTTGATTTGGGTTTTAATATTCAATAATATTCGTATTGAACTCAATTCACAAGAACAAAATACATTTGAATAAATGTGGGCTTATGACTTGTGGCTAAAGTGGCTTCAGTCTTTCACAGGTGAAGATCAGTTCTTGTGGTGTGCATGATGTAAGCAATCAGTATGAATGATACCAAAATCTCTAATTACATGAGGTTGGAAGTCAAAGGAAAAAGGTAGGAAGGCTTTGTATAGTGAAAAAAAATGATGTTTGAAACTGTCATTTGATGCATTTCTTTGGGGGGCAACTTTATTCAACAGAAATGCAGACGATGAATATTGATCTTGCAATGGAGAATGTGGATTTAGTATTTGTTGAATAAGGAATGATGTTATGGATTTATGTCAGTCAAACTTGAGCTTGAAATATCTGTTTGTGAAGTTGAATTATCAGAAAGTTTGCTTCAGCAGAAGAAGAAAGCCACTATGACAGTTTTGAAGCTACTGCAGTTGTCAGTTAAGCCTGCCACATTCTCATTCAGATCTTATTTCTTTGCTTTTTACAAAAATGTCAATTTGCATCATAGGAAAATGTTTTCAGCACAAATTATTAGAAAAACATTTGGATATGCTGCTGCGTAACAAATTATCTGAACTTTTTTAAATCTTCTGATAAGATGCAGCCTTTAGCGATCTTGGCAAGAACTGCTCAGATCTTTTTTCAGCATGAATTGATGAATCAAGATGCTAAATGATGAATTACGCTTCATAGAAAAGGCATGGCATATTGCACTTCCAAGGTTTTGATGTATTTTGACTTGAGGAAGTGTGTAGCCACGTAGTAAGGGTGTTTGTGTTTCATGATACCCAGGTTTGGTGACTGTTGGGGGCCATGCTCTAACGATTTGATGATGCTTATCATATTTTACTGATAAGACTATTTCATTTAGTTGTTCCATATTTAAAGATTAGGTAGAATGGGTGGCCCAGTGTCGTCTTAGATGCTGCAATTCGGTGTGCAGAGTTGCACCCCTTGCCAAAAAAAAATATGATCATGGGTTGGAATTCTGGTTCCCCCGATTACGTTTCTCTGTTTGTCAGCCCAATATCCATGCTGTTGGAATTCACCAGAATGGTAAAAGTCTAAGACATGCATCACTTCGGGCTTCTTCCCACATGAAGCTGACGCACCGTGATATAACTAGAACACTGTCGAATTCACTCATTACCTCACCTACATGTTACAGACTGTTCAGCATTAGAAATTGGCACTAGTCCTATAGTCCTTACCAAACTGCCCAATAGTAAAGGTATCCTAAGGACTAGTAGAAATTGGCCCATTTGGCCCATTTTAAGGGTTTTGCTATATGTTATCATTATAAGGACTAGTGGACAAAAGCTGTTAGTTTCTACCCCTGCTGTTGATACTTATGAAATCTGTTATCATGCCTACAAATCATGCTTCCTACAGAAGACATGCAAATGGAAGGCAGTAAAGCCTCCAGTCCTTTTGAATGGGCACTGTGAATATTGATAGGCAAAGGACAATCAGTGTAATGCATTGTTTTACAATGTTATTTGATCCACCGGAAACAATTCCATAAATGCCAATTATTTACAGGCCACTAGTAACAAGCACAGCCACCATTTGTAAATACTGTTTATATCAGCAAATGATGCAAGAAAGTAAACTGTGCTCAAGAATAACAGTCATCATTTCAAATTATGCAGTTTTTATTCTTTGAAGCCTTTGTTTATGATCAATGTGATGCTAGTCGAAAGGTTGAAATATGCATCTTGCAAAGCACTGTGGAGCAATGTCTGCATGAAAACAGGAATTTGTGATGTGGCCCGATTCCACTGATGGTCTGTTCCTAGATTGCCAACAGACACACAAGAGTTGCAGAGTAAGTGAGCCAATCAATATCAAATCGACCACTGACGAGAGCTGAGCTCACCAGCACATCTGTAGCCTCAATTCCAACAAATATGGCCGAAACCTGGAGCTTGGAAACGTCCAACACTGTTAGCCTTGTGAAATATGATAGATCCAATATAACTGATTTATCACAATCAATAAAACAGGGGCCATTTGGTATGCCTAGTGGGATATTCTGTTACCGTCATTGCTTATATGGAACCTAAAACAGATTCGGCATCTAAATTAAGACCTGGAGGCAGCTGATGAAGGCTTAGAAACATCCATCATTGTATCATACTGCATGTAAACCTTCTCCTGGATCCCTTTCCTCCCATAAATACAGCGTTGAGATGACAGTGGAATGAAATAATATCTATTTTTGTCGTCCCCATTTTTTTTAAGTCATTTGCAAGTATCAGTTGGAGTTGCAATTTGCAGTATAGTTTTTAAAGATATTGGATTCATCAAATCTGGAAGTAAGTTGTTAATTATATCTCGCCTTATTTATAAAATTGAGTAGGAATCGGATTAGGACTGGTAATTTGTTATGGGGTGGGGGAGTCTTTTAAAATAGGACACAGCAAAAGAGGTGGGTGGCCACAATTTATCATAACTACGAGGGGGGGGGGGGCATGAAAAAAAATGGTACATAAAATGGTG